CTCCCTCCCTCCCTCCTTCCCTCCCTGTGCGTGCGCGTGTGAATATGATTCTCAGTAGTTCCTGAATGGCTGGACAAATTTTATTCACATTAAGTATTTAAGATATATTGTAGCATCCTGTTGCACTTCTTACTTGGTATCAGTTATTCACACAGTCTCACATGCAACACTGATGTTCTATAAAACTTACATGAAAACAAGACACACAACATAACACAACAGGTAGGAACACAACCCACCACCTCAAACATACATGCGCATTGAAGGGACTATATCTTGACAATCTAAGCAGCAGTTTCCTCATCCATAATTTTTAATGCCTGAAGATGACCACATTGATTGAAACATGTAGTATAAAACCTAATAAGTTTTATAGAGCATTAGTATTGCATAAGAGACTGTGGAACTAATTGATACTCATCATTTAAGAGTTTATTCATTGTAAGTTGGTGCTTGTGAATATGAAAATTCTAATTCAGATAGGTCACAAAAATCAAAGTAGCAGTTTTCTTTAAAATAGCTGTACTGATTTTGTCTAAATTTCAATCCTCCATGGAGACTGTTGCGTAGATGTTATCATGAGAAAATAATTGTATGAGCATAAAGGTCAAAACAGTTTTTCAGTTTTCATAAAAGTGACTTGACTGATACTTATTACATTTTAATCATTTATAGGTGCGTTGAACCCAAATCGTAGTGCTGTAATTCTTGTAGCATGTTATAGAGTTAAGATCATTTTCCTCAAATGTTTATTTGAGGATAGCAGAAGGCTGTAATTCCTCAGACATAAAGTAATCGAATACAGTGTTTGCATGTCCTAGCTTGTATAGTCAGTGACCAATATTAGTCTGCTGGACAGTAGTCAGTTTCATTTCAAAGATAACATAATCCAAGACAGTAATATGAGAAAGTACCTGCAGTATCTTTGCAGTGATACCTTCCTCCCCCCACTACAGTAACATATTTAATTTATGAGTTAGTCAGGGTACAGGATTCCAGAATTTTACTTCCCACGTTTCATATGAAGTGTTTCAAAAGTCCACCAGCCAGGGACATACATGCAGTGTGTTATTAACGGCACCTAAATAGTCAGCATGCCAACTTGTGAAATAAAACGAGTTCTTACTGCATTGCAGAGATGTGAAAGCTGGCAACATTTTACTTGGAGAGGATGGAACTGTGCAGATAGCGGACTTTGGTGTATCAGCTTGGTTGGCTACAGGCAGGGACCTTTCCAGACAGAAAGTGCGACACACATTTGTTGGAACGCCCTGCTGGATGGCACCAGAAGTTATGGAACAAGTTAGTTTCAGTTCACTGAGGTTTGTACAAAGTGATATGGTTGCACAGTTGGTCTTGTGGATCAGGGTTCAAGACCGGGCATATCACGTGGATTTGTTGTGAACGCAGGTGTTCTGGGTCATATTTTCATGGACTTCTCCTGCCATTCATTCCTCCAGCCTAACCAAATGATAGATAACAGGTCTAAACCTAGTTTCGGTCTTTGCCAGGTGTGTGAGTTTATTGTAGTTCTCCTCAACTACAGCAGATTCATTCTTATAATAGGCTCTTTTCACCTCTGTGAGAACCAGAAATCTAAAGTAGGCTGATACTGTTTCTTTTCTCCTTCCTTAATGCTTCTTCACTAATTACCATCTTCACATCTTATTTGGTAGTAAATAACTGCAGCAATTAATATAGTATATTTAAATAACCTAGTTTTCCGCCAGTTTTTCATTGTTTACTGAGTGTCATTGATTCTAAATAATTTCAGGTACATTATTATTAAATCATCTGTCGACATTCATTACATTCTAAGTTAGGAGAGCATCAAAATTCAGTGACTTCCCTATGTAATTAAAATCTGGGGGATTTGCTTTTCTTACATGAAATTGAAGTTGTTATGAAATTGGGTTTATTTAAAAAATGACTCGTGAAACTGCTCGTCTTATAAATATTTACTGTGTATAATTGTAATGCAGTACTTTACATAAGTGATTATATCACTGAAATAACTCCAGTTACTTAAGAATTGAAGGAGCTCTGACGGCACAAGTGCTGTGTCTTCAGCACACATTTGTTACGGCAAAGAGAAAACCTGAATGTTGGTATGACTTTGTGTTCAGCTCTTTTGCCATCTGTTTTGCAGTGTCTGTCTATATTCCCTCATTGTTTTCTCTTTATTGTCACTACATATTTCAGCCTAACTGGCCATCATCAGGTGTACAGGTTGTTGTGATGAAGGAATCTGCTCTTCACTCTAACACTGTTCTGCTTTTCTTATGCACTACACATCCTAAAGCCAATCACAGTGGCTGCGCTGTCTGAGGCAGTGGTTCTCAACATATGTTAGAAAGCGGCCCCGTAAATTCTTTCTTCTATAAGACAAGGGCTCGGTATAATTGGTGCCAGGGTTCAGTAACGGGCCGCAGCCCAGCGGTTGAGAATCACTGGTGTAAGACATGAACTGTCTTCACTCACTCAAACATTGGGATCGTGGGTTCGAATCCCATTCCAGGCATGGATATATGCATTTGTTCTGTGTTTGTGTTGTCGTGTGTAGGTAGTGGCCTTGTGATGGGCTCATCCTTTGTCCAAGGAGTCCTACTGACTGTCTTAGATTAAGACCCTGAAATGAAACAAAGCATTTCACAGATGCCCTATTGCTCCAAAGTTGGAGCAACAGGAAAAGAGAGACATTCTGGGTAACAAAGAATGGAATTGAGAAGTTCCTGCATTGTATTTGCAAATAAACACATGACCAACTACACAAGAGATTTTACATACCAACAGCAATAAAATATGTCCACCACCAGTCTTTTAAATTAAAAAAATTTAATCAATTGTACTGATATTGTCAGTCATTTTATAATTTCTCATAATTACATTAGTATTTTAGTCTATCTTGATTTCTAATGGTACAAAACCCTTTTAAACAACATGAGACAGGTGTTTACCATACACGTAAATTGTCTTCTTCATAGTGTTGGCTTTGTCGTCTGATGATGACCAGTAGTGGCCAAAACATGTAAAAGCTTTATAAATTATTGCACTTGATGGAACCTCAATACTTATTAATCTGCTTGAAAGTGTGATGGCTGAGAATGACTCTTAAAAGAATCCAACTACCTTCACAGTATATTCATGTAAGCTTTTACAGTCTTTACATTATCCCTTCTTTTGGAACTACCATGTTATATGAAAGAGAAATGAACACATCATACAAGCAATAATATACCAAACCAAACCAAATTTAAATCTCAAAATCTTATATTTCTTCAGGATAACTTCATGAAGTGCTGAACTTATCAGTTAAACCACAATTTCCAATTAGAAGTGAAACATACATTGGATACTTCGGGTCTGGTCATGCGGGATTTGTGGTGGACAAAGTGGTGCTGGGGCAGGTTTTCTCCAAGTACTTCAGTACTAAGTCAGAATCACCAAATGCAGAAAAATAGTGCTCAGGCTAGGACAAGAGAAAGTTAAGAAATTGCCACATGGAATTTCACTGTAACAGTTAAATGGGTGAAGTCCTTGGTGAGATACCATCTCTGTTTGTTGAAGGAGATGAGTTTCATAACTTGTACTCTAGTCAAAGTAGAATTAGAATAATCAAGTCAAGGAGGATGATATGGGCAGGGCATGTAGCATGTGTGAGAGACCAGGAATGCATATAGGATTTTGGTGGGAATGGCAGAAGGAAAGACGCTGCTAGGAAGACCAAGACTTAGGTGAGTGGACAATATTGTGACATAGTTGCTCAAAGCAAGAACTGTGGAGCCGGAGAAACAACTGTTGCTAGCGAACAGCTCTGAAATAAGATTCATTTGTAGGCAACAGCCATGAAACAAACAGTGGAACAATGTTCATTACTAGGCAACAGATTTTTAATAAGCAAATATACCAGAGCCATTGCTGAGTAAGGGCTTCTCAAAAGAAAAAAACATGTTCATATGACAACAGTCGAGCAAGCAATAGAGGAATGGTGTTTTCTGTGCAGTCTGTTCCAAGATGTTGTAACTGGGACAGTTTGGGGCAACCAGTTAGTTCTGAGAGTGCCCAGTTGAAAGGCAGGCTGTGAAGAGAAAACTAGGAGATTGATGTGAAATGGCCACTAGCCTTGGAGTTGGTCAGAGAACTGCAGTTTCAGTTGTTAGTCATTGCTGTTAGAAGCTGATAGCCGAGGTTCAGCGATAGTTCAGGAACCCAGAGTAAGGGGAACATCTGTTGTTGGAAGCCATTACCAGGCAGCGGCTAGTGGAGACTGTAATAGACTGAGGACACTAGTCTGTGTGTGGAAGTGATCCGTAAAGTGTAGTCATGAGCCATGATTGTATAAGTGGTCAGTAAATGTAATTACCAATCCAAACTCTGTTGAGAATCCCCTCGTACTACGTTACAACATTAAAATGGATCTTGGAGAGATAGGGTGGGGTGGTATGTACTGGATTTATTTGTCTTAGGATAGGGACCAGTGGAGGGCTCTTGTGAACATGGTAAGGAACCTGTGCGTTGTGTAAAATGTTGGGAAATTCTTGAGTAGCTGCAGAATTAGCAGCTTCTCAAGGACTCATTCCCATGGAGTTAGTTAGCTGATTGCTTGGTTAGAGTGTTTATTCAGTCGGTTGGTCAGCCGGTCTTTTGTTGGGGGATATTGCAGCAGGTCACCATGAAGTCCATGCTGTGCTGGTGATAGTATATCAATTGGTAGAGTTGAGAAGTGTGTCGAAAAAATGTCCCACGTAGTAGGATTATACTTGAAGTTGACAATTACGGGCTTTTAGGATGTGACACTGTATAGTTTAGATAGGTTCCTCCACAGTGTTGAAACCTGTCTACTGAACTACATGGCCTGACAGCTCTGAGTACCATAATCTTCATGTTTACAGCCATGAGAGTTTCAAATGTTGCAGGGCTGGAGTTGGTAGCCCTGCCAACTGACAAGGCCTCTGTAGACTATCACTGACATTCCTGAAGCTGAAATATTATAGAAGCACTGTACTTCTCTGTAGGAGCAGAAAATATGGGAGGAAAGGTCAGAACATAACTACACTGATAGTGATTCTTTCCAACTGCATTCGTAAACATCTGTTATGTTTTACTGTTCTGCATTATACCTGACACAACTTTGTTGTGATTTAGTAGAAACATTAATACTGTTATGAATTTTGTGTAACAAGATTTTGGTGCATGCACCATTGTACAAGGGATCTTCAAAAAGTTTCTGCACTTCTATTTTTTCAAAGAAAATAGAGCAGGAGTTGTGTGGGTGGGGATTGTAGGCTGTCATGTGACTAGTTGGCAAGGTATGTTGCAGTTAGTGTGAGAGTTGCTATGAAGCGGTGAACATGGCAGCAAAATTTGAGAATTGCACCAAGGAGGACCAACAGTCTGTGGTGTGTTTTTTTTTTGTAGGCAGAAGGTGTACCCAGTGGATAAATTCATCATTGCATGTGTGCTCAGTATGGGGACAATGCTGTCTCTTGTAGAATTGTGTATGAGTGGATTGAAGTGCTTAAAAATGACCATATGAGTGTGACTAATGCAGAGCACTGTGATAACTAATCACAGCCGCAACCTCACAGAATGAAGAAAGAGCTAAGGAACTGATTCTTCAGACTATAAGAGTCACAGTTGATGAAATTGCAAAACAACTGAATATCAGTGTTGGGTCTGCTCATTCTGCGGCACATGATAACATGCCAGGTGGTTACCTAAGGAACTGATGGATGTGTATAGGTGCATGTACTTAGACATTTGTTCTTGCTGCTTCGCTTGTTATCACGAAGAAGGTGAAAACTTTCTGGAACGGATCTTCACAGGTGATTAAACATGGTTTCACCATTATCAAGCAGAAACCAAGCTGAAGAGCTTGCAGTGGAAGCATCCATCATCTTCTGTTGCAAGGAAACTCGAGACAACCATCGGCAGGACAGTTGATGTTGACCCCCATCTGGGATTCTCAAGGCCATATTTTTGAGATCTACCTGGAACATGGAACAACTGTCACAAGTGCAACCTATTGTGACATGCTTCAGAGAGGGCTGAAGCGTACAGTCTGCTCTGAAAGGAGAGGGAGACTGTTGGAGGGTGTCCTGTTGTTGTTTACAGTGCCTGTACACATACTATGGCACACACAGTGGAAACCCTCAGGAAATCAAACATCCAGCTCACAGTCTGGATCTGGTGCCGTCTCATTTATACCTGGCTGTGTGTGAAATCAGAGACTTTCTATTATGATGACTGATGACATTAAGAAGTGGTAGGACACTATGAAAGATGCGTTGAAAAGCAGGGTAATTATGTTGAAAAATTATATATTTTGTTTTTGTAATCATCAGTAAAATAGTGTTGGAAAGTAAAAATTACAGAAACTTTTTGAAGATCCCTCACACAGGAAGGCATGATATTTTTTCAGACATCTTTCTAAATGTCTGTATGAAAACAAGAAAGCAACATTATAATTTCTGTCAGATATTATAACCTTACGGTTCAGCACTGCTATTGGACTTAAACATTTTAAAATAGAATGGAAGGCCATTGTACGAGTAAGGATAGTTTACAGTAGTTAGTTATTTAGAGAGGGTGGGTTTCCCCATGCACCGCGACCAGTTTGATCTATTGTGCTTCCCTCTATGATATTCTACCAGTCTCTTTACCCTACCGATAAATGGTGCGTACCATCAGTCCCGCCGAGCAAGCGAGTTCGGCCACTTGCTTAGCGGTGTCTATAATGCTTCCCCCATCTATCAGAGGCCTTAGAGGCTATTGTTGGTTGGGAAACGTCCTGGAATTTGGCTCAGTGGTCCCCTTTGGGGATATGAGGTTCTTTTATGTGCCGTAAAGTTACGACACGGGACACACAGCTTAAAGTCCCTCCCGGAGGACTTGTTACCTGAATTTTTCCGTCCTTAAAAATTCGACGACCTCCGCCGGGTATAGTTTACAGTAGCTTGATACATTAATGCTATAATGAATACTCGTAGGTGGTTTAGAACCTGGGTGTATATAAATTGCTCAGAAAATCAAACAACAAATGTTTGTGATTATCTCAATATCTAATAAGAACATGTGAGCCTATAAAGAATTGATAATTCTATATTATGTAAACTGTTTGTGAACCATATGATTATGTTTGAAGCTGATATTTTAAATGAAGAATACCATGCAAATTTAATAGCCATGAATATTCTCACTTTGAGTACTATGTCTTATTGTTTCCTTGAACGAAGCAATACTGTGTAGCCGTTCTATTGGAGCCTTTCTTCAAGTCAAAGTAAGCAGCCTATTGCTCCAAAGGACATGATGTACTTGAGGTATTCTGTTTCCTCTCCCTGTATTTTGATGACCTCATGGCCCAGAACAGTTACAGAATTTCCTCAGCCACCTCTCAGTAGTTTAAGGCATTCAGACCAGTTCACTATGGAAATAAGAAGAAGACAGTGCATTTTTTTTTTAATTCGTATAGTGGGGGGGTGGAGTCCAGTTGGGTCCACTCGGCACGGCGGCCACTGATTGGCCTATTGTACCTGCCCCAGGTGATTATGATGATGGAGAATTTGGTGGAATGAAGATTGGCAGGGGAAACCGAAGTCCTCGGAGAAAACCTACCCCAGTGCCACTTTGTCCACCACAAATCCCACTTGACCAGACCTGGGTTTGAACCTGGGCCATCGCGGTGAGAAGCCAGCAACTAACAGCTTGAGCTATGGCGCGGCCTCGACAGTGCATTTTCTTATTTGAATGTTCAGGTCATCAGGTAAGAGGCAACACTGGCCACAAAAGTCTACAGAAAGTTCACCCACACTGGCCAATATCTAACCATCTGTCACATGCAAAAAGAGGTTTAATTCAGAGTCTTCATAATAGAGCTTCCACCATATGCAAAATGACAAGATCTATTTAATGAAATTAGCTGGACTAGCTGGACTATACAGAAAGCTTTCTGTGTTAGTTTCAGTTGACTTATCACAGATTTTCCTGCTCTCTTCTTCTTGAGTACACTTGCTGTCTCGTATAATAGTTTATCCTACCAATGATTGATGTTTTATGATTTTTAGTTAAACACATGATGAGTTGCACTCTAAATAATGGCTCAAAATTCTGAAACCCATAACATACAAATGCATTTCTGTCTGCATGGGAAACATGTCTACTGGCTACTGATGAGCTAGTAACGTACCCTCTCCTGCCCTACTTCTAACTTTGCATGTGATTTCCTTCATCCTGTGAAATGATGAAAGCTGCTGTTCCGTTCACATTTGTAGTGTCAGCTGTTAAAAATTTCAGTATGACTTTTTAGATACACAGGGAAGCGGCCTCTGTAGTCTAGGGGTAACGTTCCCACCTCAAGACTCAAGGTACGTGGGTTCAAACCCGGCGGAGGTCGTGGAATTTTTAAGGGAACAAGTCCTCCGGGAGGGACTTTAAGCTGTGGGTTCCATGTCGTAGCTTTACGGCACGTAAAAGAACCTCATGTCCCAAGGGGACCACCGAGCCAAATTGATCGGACATTTCCTGCCCAACAGTAGTCTCTAACGCCTCTGATAGATGGGGGAAGCATCGAGAGATATCGCTGAGCCAGTAGAGGCCGAACACACTGGCTGAGTCGGGACTGATGGTTCACACCAGTATCCGTAGGGTATAGAGACTGGTAGAATATCACAGAGGGGACATACAATAACCACTGGTCGTGGTGCATGGGGAAACCCACCCCTCCAATAATAATAATAATAATAATAGATACACAGGGAACTTGGTGGGCTCAAGGTAAGTTCTTTGACTCCTTAATTTATGCATCATGTTGCATATTAGTAAAATTGTTTTAATAAACATCTACACAACAGTTAATTGATTAATATATCAATAGTTAATGTGTTTTAAGACCATGATGTGCTTTGATCATTTTGGTTATCATCAGGTGGTATATACTTTACAAATAAAAACACTGTGAATATGTTTCTGTATTATTAAAACATTCTGTATTGACCATTGGATCCATTCCCCAATTCTTCTAAGATGTCTCATAAATTATTAATGTGCATGCGCACATATACTGTTGGTCAGAATAAAATTATTATTACATATTTGAAATATTGTACTTATTTCAGACTAGTATGTAAAGATAATAATATTAAAAGTCAATAACAGTGGCATTGTTGTAGATACACTGTTAAATTAGATGAATTTGCTTGTGTCTTCAGTGTTGACCATCACTTTGTAATTTTAAAACAGTAATAGCAGATGATAAAATGATCATCAGAGATAAAACAGTTGCATGCATTATTATATACATTTGCTGTTTGTGGGTGTTAAAGGTTGTATTGTTTTAGTGTGTTTATTACTGTAGTTTTGATGGATAATTTAGGTGTATGATGTGGTCTAGTGGTCAGCATTCCTGATTACAGATCCAGAGGTCTGGGTTCGATTCCCGGCACTACCAGATATTTCGGAGAAGTAGTGGGTCTGGAACAGGGTCCACTCAGCCTCATGATGATAATTGAGGAGCTAGTTCAAGGAAATAGTGGCTCCGGTCTATAAAACCGAAATTAATGGCCATGGGGATTCATTGTGCTGACCAAAAGTGAGAAAGTTGGCACTAAACTTTGCTGACAAGCAGCAGTTGCTCGGTCAGTATGGTTTGCTTGCAGACTGAAATCACGTAGTTTGTTTGATGGTATGTAAGTTGCATGATCAATGTTTTAGCATGCTGTAGGTTTATATTTTTGGCCTTGTTGTAGTGTACGAGGGGGGACCCAAAATAACTGGAAACGACCTGTTGCGCACGCATGCTTTGTAGTTACAAGTTGTGCTGCTAGGTGGTGTTAGCTGGGGGTCTCCCGCGACTGTTAGTGAGCTGGCGTCAGTCTGAGTTAAGTGGTTTGTCTGTGGTGCTCTGTTGTGTGCGTTCCTGTTTCAACCCTTTGGCGATTAGTGAGATGGCCGACCAGAAGGAACAAAGAGTGTGCGTGAAATTGATGAAGATCGTCGAAAGACCATTGACCAACTTTCTGAGGAAACGAACATCTCATGGAGCACGGTCCAGCGAATTTTAACCGAAGGTTTGCACATGAGACGGGTGTCTGCAAAATTTGTTCCTCGCTTGCTCGGAATGACCAAAGAGAAAACCGCGTGAATGTTTACCGCGACTTGAAGAGTGAAGTGCAGTTTTCCCTAACAGAAAGCAAAATTTCACGCACACTCTTTGTTTCTTCTGGTCGGCCATCTCACTGATCGCCAAAGGGTTGAAACAGGAACGCACACAACAGAGCACCACAGACAAACCACTTAACTCAGACTGACGCCAGCTCACTAACAGTTGCGGGAGACCCCAAGCTAACACCACCTAGCAGCTCAACTCGTAACTACAAAGCATGCGCGCGCAACAGGTCGTTTCCGGTTATTTTTGGGACCCCCTTCGTATGTGAGGGATATGGCTGGTTGGAGTGTTAGAGAATGTAAACTGTATCTCACCTGATGATGAACAATAAATACAATTGAAACATGTTGTGTTGAAATAACTATTGAAATATTTGTTAATTAATTGTTTAGTTGGTTATTAAAACAGCCTTTTTTAACTCTATTCAGGGATTCAGAGTTTTTATCTAGGTTACATCTGTGTGCAGATTTTTCTTGTTACACACTGATACCTTCACTATTATCTAAGTGAAAAAAATCAGGTTCTCCCTGTGGTTTAGAGCTAGTGTTAAATACCATCATTCTCATGATCACTGAATCAGTGGAAATAATAGGATCTTCCTTGTTGTCCCCCTCCCTGCAAAGAATCTTATTCTGTGCCCTAGTGTAGGTCAGGCACCAGAACCTAAACACTCAGGTTATATATACTATAAAGAGTATATAAAGAGTTTGCCCACCTCATGCAAAATATGTGTCATTAAGGATTAGCTTGATTTTTTAACATTTTAGTCATCAATGTAGAAATGCTGCTTAGGATGGCCAGGAATTGGAGAAGTTCACAGTGCCAATGTAAACTTTGGTGTACATAGCCACATCATATGGCTGAAATTTGTGTGACTTTGTCATATCTGAGCTGCTGATTTCATCCAGAGAGCAGTTTGAGTCCATCGTTTGTATCCATTGAGCCCTCACTGGTATGTCTTTTCTGTATATAAGTGCTTTAGGTTTTATATGCAGTGTTTAATATGTTGCTTTCTATTATAGGATCATGGGTATGACTTCAAAGCAGACATATGGTCATTTGGAATCACAGCGATTGAAATGGCAACAGGAACAGCTCCTTATCATAAGTACCCACCTATGAAAGTTTTGATGTTAACACTTCAAAATGACCCTCCCACGCTTGATACTGGGGCAGAAGAAAAGGACCAGTACAAAGCATATGGCAAAACTTTTCGCAAGATGATTGTTGATTGCCTTCAGAAAGACCCATCAAAAAGGTGATTTCCCTGTGATATAACTAAAAATTAAACTAACTTATTCACTCTGTAACCAGCCAGGAGCTGAGTAAGCTTAAAGACTGAGGGTGTTATAATGTGCTGCTTGGTCAGGGCTGTCAGTTATGTCAGATGTTTGTGGTAAGGAATGTGGAAAAGTAGATGAATCATGGTTAGCAGGCAGAAAATACCTAGCTCCATTGCTGCTTCATTCACCATATATCTCGCATGAAATCACTCAGGATTGAACCCCAGACTGCAGTGAGTAACCAGCACCTGCTGTTTGAGCTGTGTCATGACCCACCTGTGAATTAAGTACTTTTTTAAACAGATTCAGCATTCGTGAGTTACACAGTTGATTTTAGTAAGTGGCCTGTGGGCTGTCAGCTGAGTAACCTTTATATGAAGATGTTAAGGACTGCCTGCTGCCACTTGTACTCACGTAATTTATGCACTTCTCAAACCGCTGCCCAGAATTTGTGGTGCACAAAGCATGAGAAGCATAATTTTATGTGTTGTAGCAGTTAAGAAAATTATTGTTGCATATTATTGGGATAGAAGTATGATTTCCATTCTTTTCCACATAATTTGTACCATAATTTTGAACCCAGCTGGGTAAGTGTTTTACTTATCTATATTGGGTACACTCTCAGGTTGTTACAATATCTATAGTATGAGCTTAATGACTGTACTGATTATATGAGTAATAAATCACCTAGTAAGGGTTGTTCTACTAACAACAACAGATGGTTTTCGCACAGCTTCCTCTCCCCCACCTGCTTTCAGTTTCCTAGAAATCCCAGTCCCGTTTACTGAGTAGGAATTGGCCTGCCTCGATACATGGAAATGGAGGAACGTTAGAATGAGAGAGACAAGTATGCCAACACCATCCAGTGGTAGCAGGCACTCCTAGTGAGTGTGGGATGAATGTTTAAATTGACCTACATTGCTGTGATCGTCTGCATTGCCACTTCAGTTTTTGTCTGAAAGCTGTTCACACGTGATAGAACGTTGCCATGTGTTACTGACTAGACACTGAGTTTGGTTTGATAATATGAGTTATTGGACAGCTACAAATAATTATAACAATCTTACTAATCTCCACACACTACGGATCACTGCAGCACACACTAGATCTTTTTAGTTTGTTATGTTGTCACTAGTTGTTGCTAGGTAGTGGCTTCTAACAGTGGAGATTCTTCTACATCTGTGCTCACAGCCAGCCACCACTACAAATGCTGACCAACTTTGGTTTTGGGTTAATTGCTGCTGGCTTTCACCAGCATGGCCCAGTGGGATCCATGACCATCTTTTCCTTGAAACACACAGCAATCTGGTTTTTATCATGGTCTCTCCTCAGAAATGAAATGACCAAACACATGCAGACATTCAACAAAATACTGAAATTTCAGTTTGGTCGTAGAAGCTCATTTAAGCATCATTATTCTACATCATTGAACACTAATAACTTCTCTACTAAACAATGGCATTTTAAAGAAAATTCCATGACAAGTAATTCACGTAAAGCAGTCATAGTATTTGCATGTTGTATGTTGCATATTGAATAAAGTGACAACTCATTCAACTTATTTTAGTAATTCTTATATTCTTGACTTTTTTTTAGGCCGACAGCAACCGAGCTCTTGAAACACCCATTTTTCAAGAAAGCAAAGGACAGAAAATACCTTCAGCAGACATTAGTGGCCATTGGCCCAAGCTTAGAAACCAGAGTACAAAAAGTATGTATATGTGAACATATGATAATTTTACTGAACCGTAGAAAGAAATAGCCAGGTGAGGACTCTCCATGTCAGATTCCTTTTAATATGGGAGAGTTTAAGTGTTACAAATATAGGAACCAGTAGACCATCTGAATATATTTACTGTGTCTTCTGCACTTACCAAAGCAGATTTTCTGAAATAATCTCATATTTTTCAGGCATCAAAACGGCAACCTGGAGCATCAGGGCGGCTTCACAGGACTGTAACGGGGGAATGGGTTTGGTCATCAGAAGAGGAAGGTGGTGAATCATCAGATGATGAGGTGAGAATCTATACTTCCTTACTGAGCTTCTAGAACCAGTTATTCTCTTCACTAGTGATAGTTTTTTTGTTACTACTTTCTGTTAAACCCAGAGCGTCAGCATGGAGGCGAAAGAATGTTTGAGCTCTAACAACATTGTAGGTATTTGCCAGTCATTGCTCACAGAACTGTGTTACAATTTCTTAGTTGTCCAAAATAAGGAAACTCATGAACCATTCCTGGAACCAGGGTACATCATACCTTGTGTAGGTAGTCATGTGGAAGAAAAGATTATAATCTTATGAATACATAATTATGTATTCATTGAGGTATCCCATATGATGCTTATAGGGACTATTGTTCGTAGGTTGACCAAATTAATGCCAACATTTGTGAAATATTTAAATAATCTGCAAGTAAATAGAATAAGATAAATAAATAAAATAAAAACCCTCATCTGTAATAAGTTATCACAGAAGCAAGGGCAGTATGTGTGTTATTTGATAACTGGTTCACCAGCGTTTCTCTCAAAATATGCTTGAAGAAAGAAGGAAAGTTATCTCTATGCAGTAAAGTCAAACTGAATACAAGGTAATGAAATGCCATAGGAGGCAGTCATGAAGAAAGGAAGAGGAGATATTAGTGAGCATATAGCTACAGTTGATGGCATTGACCTATCAGCAGTTTCCTGGTTTGACAATAAGGTCCTAATACATTGAACTTCTGTAGGTGCTAAACCAGAAGGCCAGAAAAAAACTATTTTTAAAAAAGAAAGGAAAAAACTCAAGATAGTTCCATGTCCCCCAAGTTATCATTATGTACAATAAGTACATGGGTGGAGTAGATCTTAATTTAATGCTAGGCTATTACAGAATCCAAATCAGAACAAAAAAATGGTATAAAATTATGTTCTATATGATTTATTTGGTTTGTGTCAGTGTTTGGATTCTGTGGCATAAACAGAATAAAAATAAACATTCCCCTTATGGGCTTTGAAATTATTTTGGCAGATGCTCTCTGCAGAGCAGGGAAAACACTGGAATGCAAAAGAGGTCAAGCAAGCAATGAAATTCAACAGAAACTCAATAGCAAACAAAGGAAAGGACCAGCAGCAGAAGTACTGCAAGATTGTGTCTTATCATTTTCCAATATGGCATCATACATGAGGATGTTGTAAATTCCCCAATTGCAAAGAAAAGACATTTGTAGCTTGTGAAAAATGTGAAGTTATACTTTGCCTGAATAAGGAGAAAAATTGTTTTAAATTGTTCCACGCATTGTAAAATTTACATGTTTACTATATAAGTTAGAATCTGTTGATATTGCTTATTAAAGGTATAGATGGTATTTAAAATGAAAGTTTACTGTAATTGTGGTCTACACATGAAACAAAAAAAAATGTGTTATTTGTGTATGAATATATTTGTAGTAGAAATTAAAGAGTTATTGCATGGTGTGCCATATATGGTACACTCCAGCCTTTGCAATAAATATTGGCTATCATGATTTTTTCAAAATTTTTCTCATAGAAGATACCACTTCTTACACTTACAAAATATTTTTCAACCAAAACAAAAAATCATAATATTGTGCGCACACAGTGCATTTACCATCAGCCACACATACCCACAGCCATCTCATGAGAAAATTTATTAAACCAGTATGTTTGAATTTTCCACCAGTATATGAATACCAGAAGTATGTTCAAAACAAGATCTAGTAACTTTTTGATGATGACATAATGGTATATGTCACTGACTGGGTGTGACACACCTTGGTTCATCCTCCAGCATGACTTTACATGATAGTATTTCTTGTGGTGGTCATCATCATGGTAAGTTCAGGGTTTGTCACTGGAACTCCTGCCCCCAAATTCTTAGTCCATTTCATTTGTGTGTCATGTGTTGGTTTAATATTAGTTATTTATTCTAAATTTATTTTCTCTTCTCTTTTTTCCCCGTTATGTTATCTTGCATATCTTATGATATCACTGAATGGTGTATAATCAGGGGCTGAGTTTGTCAGGGTACTGTAAGTTGCAATGCAAAGTGAAAGAATAGAGCTTTGGCCTTTGCAGATGCACAGGGTACAACAAATGCCATGTGTCTAATAATGGTAAATTTTCATTGTCCTGAATTAAATGTACACAGTTGCATGATTTGAGTGTCATATTTAAGTATCTAAGCTTACCAGAAATAAACCAGTGAGACAGAGGCATGGAGTAACATTTTCACTTTCACAGTGTCCGTTGAATGAATGAATGAATGAATGTATGAGGGGTAGGCCTTCTCGGCCCTTGCACCGCCACCTACGGTGGTCTGTTATGCTTACCCTTTTGATTATCCCCTCAGCAATCCTGCGTTTCAAATGAAGCGCAGGATTTTGTACATGGGGACATCGAAATAGTCACTTGGTTCTATAAAGTATTGACCCAAATGACATAATCTTAAATAAGCTAAGGCCTCACATTCACACAGGATATGTGTGGCTGTTTCATTTTCTTCTTGACACCTCTCACAAGTGGAACTATTACGTAGTCCCAGTTTGAAGAGGTGTCCTTTAAGTAGTCCTGCCACCTATCATAGCTGGTTCCTGTTTAACTTCAACAGTTCCTTCACTCTTTTAGCTGAGGGTCCTTATATGAGTCCCTTTGCTTGCCTGAGTCCAGTCAAGGATCCCCAATATTTCTTGTGTTTCATATCTGTCCAGTCCCTGATTGCCTATCTGGCAACTTCTGTAGAGATACCACAGGCTGGTTCAGGTCCTATGAACGGATGTTCAGCTCTAATCTTAGCTAATTGGTCTGCTGTTTCGTTTCCAGCAATACCCTCATGCCCCGGCACCCATATCAGTTGTACCCTGTTATGTCTGGCCCGTTCCGTGAGGGTTTGGTGGCAATCCCAGACCAATTTTGAGTTGATCTGGTGTTTGTCAAGCGCTTTGAGTGCAGCTTGGCTGTCAGATAGAATGTAGATGTTCCTATTTCTATAGTTCCTCTCTGAATTCTCCATAATACATGCCTTAATGGCATATACTTCTGACAGTGTCTGTTAGTATGTGTATTATTATGGAACAAGGTAATAATGATTTTCACAGCAAAATAAAAAAAAACTTTTGTTTGAACTTCTTCCCCTTTTTTATATCCTTCTTTCTCCACTAATCAGCTCCTTCCTCTTCTTCGTACAGTCTCCCTTATCTCCTCCTGGTGAATGTTTTTTTTATAACCAGGTGTTTTATTTCTTTCTGTCTATGGAGTCTCTTTAATTCTCTTGAACTGTATACAGCAATTTAGTAATATGCATGTGGGTTAGCACTGTCTTTTGTGTCGTTATTGATGATCTTAAAATATTGTTGACAGTGTGTGGAGAAACCAATGAATAACATCGAGACAGTTGGGTCATCAGGCAGTGAGAAAGACTTGACTGATACAGAGGGCAGTGCCGGCACGAGAACGAGTGAAATTATGGCTCCCAGTAACTTGTATCGAGTGCAGACCCAGGCAGTTCCTCCAGTGAATCTTGTGCTCAGAATGAGGTGGGTTGAATCTGTCCTGTTACTTTGGTAATCAAATGGCTCCCACAGGTAACATCCTTATGTTCCTTCACATTTAAACAAGAATGTAATCTGTACTGGAGTAAGTAGGATGTTTAGAGACATTCTTTACCATCATTGCTCCAGTTTCTATCCTGTCCACTGTATGTGGAGCAGTTGCTTGCGTTATGGAATTATTTTATTGCGAACATAGGAAGGAAAGTAATTAATGTTTTTACAGAAATGGTTTATTGAACAACAGTGTATAATTGATATGAAACATTAATTTTACTCATGTATATAAATTTTATTTGAACCTTATCTTGGTTAGTGAATATGTACTGAGATAAATGTAATAGTTCTAACAAAGCTTTATCATATTTCTCAAAAAAACAATTCATTCTGAAACATTTTAGACATTCAGTATGCATTACATTAATATCTATAACTTTACTTCAGAGTAATTCTGATTTGAGGTGTATTAAATTAAGGAATAAAGATTATATTTAGGTCTCTAAGTAGTATGCTGAACTCTTGTTTGTTAGAGGTTATGAAGGGGGTAAAGTTGCATGGATAATTAAAAATACATATGATCCATATACATCTAGAAGTGCAGTGAATACTCGATTTTACCATATAGAAGATATTACCTAAAATAAATGTAAAACTAGTGGAAGTACAAATTTTGGAAATTTAAAATAATGTAACATATGCAAAAATGTGCATTGTGTTACAGTATGAAATAACCTGATTTTCTTTATGATATAGTCCTACAGTTATGATTATAAGGAAGGATGTAATAACAGACTAAATAAATTGACAATTTTGAAATAAAAGTCATTGATTTTTCTATTGCAGGAATCCAAAACGAGAATTGAATGACATTAGGTTTGAATTTGCTGTGGGGAAGGATTCAGCTGAAGGTATTGCATCTGAACTGGTTGGGGCGGGATTGGTGGACGGCAGAGATATTGTTGTCATTGCTGCAAACCTTCAGAAACTTATAGATAGTGGAGGACAACTTCGTACTGTTACCTTCCCCTTGGTGAGTAAGCTTGTTATTGCTACAGTTTTGTTTGTAGAAGTTGAGTGTTATGAAATTTGAGTCCTTAAAATCCCAAGTGATACACACACACACACACACACACACACACACATGCTTTATTTGAGGTGTAAGTGTAAGTATCGGATAATTCTCTTACTGTGTTGTGCTTAAAGAGCATCAGAGTTTTCAACAGAATTCTATTTCTGCTGGTTGCACTTCAGTATGTATTTAGGAGACAGAATAAGCTGGAAGGAACAGTTCACTTAGCGTTGGAAGAGGACTTCAGCTTAATCTTTGCTATGGAAGAAGCATAAGAAAGGGGGAAAGGGAGAAAGAAGAATATCAACCAGATAATAAGAGAATGGAGACAAGCTGTAAAAAGTGAGATCCAGTTTGAATATAACGGAGTGATTCCAGCATTTATACGCAGATGAGTTACAAATTGCAACACACCAGTTAAACAAAATTGTTCTTAATTGTTACATCAGTAGTGACATCATTGAAGGCTAAAGTAATGGATATTTGTAGGGGAAATATTAAAGATTAAAAATATGAATAGGTGGAAATGCAATAGAACAGTATTTGATTTTATTTACTTAGGGAACATTATTTAAGATCTGATGAAAGTTATTAACATGGAGTTACAAGATTGAATAAAATAAATGAAAGAAATTTGGGCTTATAAATGTCGGTTGATATGAAATTATGCCTCCATATCTTTACATCTTACATCGGGGCACGTGGTAGCATAGTTGGTTGAGGGGCTATGCTACAAGCCGGAAGGTTGTGGGTTCAAGTCCTGATGAGGTCATTGGATTTTTTTCAATTGACCTAATCCTTCCAGCCACACTATGGCCTTGGGGTCGACTCAGCCTCTGAGAGAAATGAGTACCAGGAATTAATTAAATAATTTTCCTGGGGAGTAAAGTGCATCCGGCGTTTAAGGCTGACAACCTTACCGCCATCTTTGAGCTGATTGTCTAGATATTGTGGGATCCTCAACGTCTCACAACCCTAAGGGTCTTCACGGCCTGTTACAGGGATAGCTTTACTTACTTTTTTACTTACTTATATTTACATCACATTTGAACAAAAATGGGATGAAGTGGTAAGAGATTGGAGAAAAGTTGCATAATGATGAGCTTCATAAATTATATCCTATGCCAAGTATAAGTAGAATGATCAATTCGGGGAAGATGGGATGGGTTGGGTATGTATCACACGTGAGGAGAAGAGGAATGCTTATAGGATTTTCGTGGGAAATCCAGAAACAAAGAGATCACTAGAAAGACATAGATGTAGGTGGGAGGATAATATTAAAATGGATCTTAGGGAGATAGATTGGGGTGTTATGGACTGGATTGATGTAACTAAGGATAGGGACCAGTGGAGGGCTGTTGTGAAGACAGTGATGAATCTTCTGGATAATTTTTGAGTAACTGAGTGACTGACAGTTTCCCTAGAAGAACTCAGCTCCATAAAATGAGTGAGTGAATGAGTTAGGTAGGTAGTTAGTTGGTTAAGCTAGTTAGTTAGTTAGCTAGTTAGTTAGTTAGTTATCAGCTGCATTATAACTCATGGGTTCTTGCAAAGGTGAGGGTAAAGTTGTCTCTGTGCTTAACTAATTAAGCACTGCACCATGAAGGCATATGGGGGAGTGGATGTATAGATCCTCATTTTCTTGATCTTGGCACTAGCTGGAGGTGAGTGGTCAGCTTCACGCTCCGTCCGTTTTACCCTTGGTGAAAGAGCCCCAGTAGAGACTGGGTGAACCCCATAGATGGTCTTGACAACATGGAGAAGAGAACATTCTTGACCCTAAAAGGACCAGTTGGTTGTCCAGCCTGTAGCCAGGCGCTATACTGACTGTGCTATCCCAGCTCATGTTCTTGTAGAGTAGAAGAATTTGTTTTCCTCTGTTTTGAGAACAAAAACACTTTCGTTTCGAAGGTCTCTACTGCTGTATGTAACTGTTGCATAAGGAAGTATTTTCCCTGAAAAATCACTTTGAAGTGGTTTAAATGTTCACATCGTCACACAGGAATGCCTGGTCAGTTTTCCACTTATTGTCTTTCAATTGAGATGACATGAAATCCTTATCTTTGATGTCCAAGAACATTGCTTATATAAGGTTGGGCATTATTTGGAACAATTATTGTCGTACTGTCAGTGAACTGTGAACTCGATATCAGTTTTATCTAGGCTGCTTTTTATATCATTAGAGCGCCACTATGTTGTTCTCATCTTTCATTTTACACCTATCTAACTTGTGATACACAATGTGCACATATGTGTCTGTGCCAGCCACTCACACTCAGCTAAGACTCAACTGTGACTGTTCTCTCCAGATGCCTGCAGCCACTATTTTATGCATGTAATAATTCTACAGCGGTCCTCTGTCTTTATGAGCAGCTGAGGTTCTCTGCTACAAGAGAAAAGTGAGGTCTCAGTCCTTTGGTGAATGAGAGTTTTGCACAGGCTGGTGTTTGAGATTTAAAACATTGAATATGAAGCTGTTACCACAGATTAGACACATGGTTATAAATCTGTGAATTCGAGTTGTTTTTCCCACTCTTTGTTAAACACTGCACTCACTGCCCATTTTTTAAGCTTGCATTCATTTTACAAGGATAGCTATTCACATTTGTTAGGAGTAGAATGGTTATACTGCTTCATCACATTTGACAGCTGCTGGTTCTGAGCCACTTACATCACCAAACAGAAGCATTAAGCTGACTACCAGATTCTGTGAATCTTTATTTTTTTGCTTAGTGGGGGGTGGAGTCCAACTGGGTCCACTCGGCACGGCAGCCACTGATTGGTTTATTGTACCTGCCCCGGGTGATTATGATGATGGAGAATTTGGTGGAATGAAGATTGGCAGGGGAAACCGAAGTACTCGGAGAAACCCTGCCCCAGTGCCACTTTGTTCGCCACAAATCCCACTTAACCAGACCCAGGATCGAACCCTGGCCGCCGTGGTGGGAAGCCAGCGACTAAGCGCTTGACCTATGGCGTGCTCTGCTGTGAATCTAACTTTCACCTTAAATAAACACGTGATATATAGTATTTCCCTGTCTCCACTCCGTCTGTTAATTGTTGACTGCAGAATTCTGATAACTTGCAACTGATTCTAGACGCTGTCACACACAATTGATGTGTCAAGAAGATGCTGCTTGTCTGTGCACTGTACCACATTGTGGCAAGTTAACAGTTAACTTTACACTTCAGTGTGACAACTTTCCTATTTTAAAATAAATGGATAAGTAAATATTATAGACACAGGACTGGAGGAATAGCTGGTTTTGCCTGATTGGGCAACACCAATCTCCCCCCCTGCACTAGAAACTTTTGAATATATTGCATTATTTTCTGACATTTGTTTTTGTTCTTTCAGAATTCTGGTTATGCAAGCAATGAAGTTCCTGATGATAAAGCGTTGATTGGTTTTGCCCAAATCTCCATAACAGACTAAAGTGGAAGAAACCATAAAATGTTATATGAAATTATGCTGTAAGTTTGAAGTGTAAATGAGGAAGTTGCTTATATTCATTTTTTATTCCTAACTGCAGTTACATTAGGAATGAAGGAGAATGATTTGTAAATAAGATGTGCAAAGGAAGACTAAGTGGCCATAACAAAAGGAAGACAATGTTTTAAAAGTCTCTGTACTTTGTATAGAGTGAATCTGGGTAACTGTTTTTTTTTTAAGTTAAGCTTATTTCTACTCTGTCATGTATATGAGCCAGTAGATAATATGGCAAGTTCTTGAGCCAAGAATTTGAAGCAAACTGTGACACAAATGGCTTTTCTGTTTCACACAGATTACACGTAATATATGTTTTGTTGCAATAGGAGTTAGTGTTCATAGAACACTGTCAAAGATGTCAAGGAGTGTGATGTAGTTGAAAATGCCATGTACTTATGATACCATATTTTAATTTTATCACATTCATACTAGTGTATTCTTTAATTTCAAGTTTGCATATTTAAGGTATAAGAACAAAGAGGTGCTGCAGTAGACTTACACTTCAGAACCATTTGCAGCTGGCAGCCTTCCATTGTTACAAATTAATTTTTCAAAAGGATATAAGGTCTGGAATTCATATTTAAACCAACAAATGGCAACTGAATACAGGTAACTGTCATGTTGACAGTATTTTGACTTTAGAGCTGATGCAGTTGTTCTGAATTGTCTACATATAAGTGGGAAGGCTCAGAGAATTTCTTGATGATTCACTTGTGCTGGTTAAGTTGTAAACTGAATCTCTTGCAAGAAATAAATTGTCAGCTTCTGTAACTGACTGCATGGCACTCGTTTCCTGAGTGTTTGCTTGTGGTGCACACTGATTGTAGTTGTTCAGCTAAGTTTCCATGTTTGTTGAAGTCACTTTGGAGTATGGTACTTGTTGCATATAAAACTTACAAATGCAGGAATAATTCACAGAAGCATAATGTGTTCATGCCTCCACAATTTGTTGAGATGAGCATAATGTTAATTTGCATAGAGGTTCAACATCACTAATACCAAGGCCTAATATTGGAACCTGTATTGAGTGTGTTCAAATCTTCACAACCTACACCGCAGTTTAATTTTATCCCTATACCTCCTCAGTCTTCCATGTGACTGTTTTCCATTCACAAAACTTCAGTATTTGTTTCTTGTCTTCTCCATGCAAACTTCATGTTCATGCATCACAGCCACCTTTAATAGTACTAGACAAGCTGTAGAAGTTAATCACTATTCTTTGTTATTTAATATCCATATTATTTCATTGCTGCATCTGTATGTTGAAAATTAACATAATCTGCATTATCCCCTTAAAACTTAAGATATTTAATAAACTAGGAGTAATTAGATTTGCTACTTTTGTAGGTAGATGCTTACCCTTCTCTTAATTGTTAATTTCCTTTAACAAAATGGTGACAGTGATTTCACTGGAGTTAAGACTAATGGACAGTCAAACAAACAGTTAATGTGTGTTTTGCTGTAGGTAGATTACTTTGGATGGATGCGGAACCATGATCACTGAAGTTGATGTTCTTGGGATGAAAGAGTATGAAAATTTGAATACCGATTTACACTTTCAGATCTGTTTTTGTCTGATAGCAGCATTTTGTAAGCATAGTATAGAACCAGTGTAATCATCATTCTTTGGCAGGGGATTTCTATTCTTCCCTTCAGCATCATGTTGTATGCAGTAGATGTTAGTATCACGAGCTGTCTTCCCCAAGCACAAGCTTGATTCTCACATTTATTTTGGACTGTGGTCTGAAATGTGTGAAGCATTGCCTCTATGGCCCCTGTATACCAGGAATTGTACCTTAGCATTGCACGTCTGTCTTTCATGTGAATGGCTGTAGTATGTATTTGAAGGCCTGCTAATTTTATGTGTCTCATAATTTTTGGTGGTTATGATATCCATAGCCTCTTTTTTTTTTTTTCTTCTTTAGTACTTATGTGTCATAAAGGTCAAAATTCATATAAACAGAATGCTTTGAAAATGTACAGAATGGGAGTAGATTAAAACACAGGCACATGAAAAAAATGTATAAAATTTCTTGCAAGTAACTTTGACCACAGAGGATCTGTGAGAGTAAGTAACATAAAGGAAAGTTGGAATGTAAAATTCTGGGATCAGTCACTGAACCAGTAGTTTTAATCACTCCACTTACGGTAGATCCAATGTTTTTATGGGGGAGTGGAATTATTGGTAAGAGTCTTAACTTGTGGCAAGAGTGCAATTTCTTGAGAATGTCCTCAAAAGGAAAAAGTGTTTTACACATTTAGCATGAAGTACTTTGTAGCACTATTCAGGGACTTCTCCACCTAGAAGTAGGAAGTCAAGACTAGAATAACACTTTCATACAAACCCTTTCTATTCTAATGGGGTTATAGTGTGTACTGCATTGAATTCTGATATGCTGTACAATGAAAATAAACTGTGTTCAAAATAATCAAATTACTACATATAGAATAACAGAGTGTACATGTAACTGATATTCAGAAGGTATTTTCTTTGAACATCTGGGACACTGGCTATTCTGAGAGAGGTTTTCTGTGATTTTTCTCAATCCTTTGGTCAAACACCACAGCAGTGTCTTGAATTAGGTCACGGCTGCCACCTCACCATTCTACCATATGATGCCTGATCTAAGAGTGTCTCAGATTGATTTGTTAGAACTAAAATTCTGTGTTTGCAGAGAATCCCTTTCAGCCTGGACAGCTTCTGCACATATGTGTTTCACTGTTCCTGCCAGTGCTGGAGCACTGCTTTTGCAGTCACCAGCAGCTGTTCCATTGCAATGTGTTCAGTTGTTTCCACATCATTAATTTTTTACCTTTTAAGGTGTTTTATTTTTAAGAACAGAGCCATATCTAATGAGCAAGGAAGCTCTCTCACTTGTGGAATACTGTATTTGGCTTAGAACTTCTGCAAAAGTTAGGTGAGCAGGAGCATTGTCATGATAAATTTACCTTTTCCCTGATTCCCACTTCACAGTTGTTTATGATGCACCAGATCAGAGAGACATCTCTGTACTTGTGAAGAAATGATGGATAACAGTCTGGCCATGTGCAGTATACATATGGTTAACAATGTGCTCTTAATCTAGAAAACATCATTCTTCTAGAAATCATATTGGTTTTCCTGCTCAATTGGTATTCTTTTCTCGGTTGCAATGAATAAGGGGATTTACATTGTGATAATTTCTGCCTAGTTTTGATGTTATAACTATCAGCCATGTTTCATCACCTATGAACATTTTTTGAGAAGGCTTAAATTGATTTTTGCTCATTTAAGCAAATCAGAAATGACAGGCACTTTTCTTTCTGTTCCTGTGTAAGCAGCCTTAAGATGAACCTAATGTCACTCCCATATATTCTGTCCAAATATAGGCATGTACAAACCTTTTTCAGAATGAAGGAATCTTCTTAATCTCAACTCAAACATAAATTCTTCAGTCTTGAACTTTGAGAATTTTCTGGTAACTGCTTCTGCTTTGCACACTTTGGTCATACCATAAGTGATATATTTTAAATTAACAAGACTATGGAGTACTATATATGTAAATATTATATATTAGATGTTTATAATGGTTTGAGATTTTAGTATTTTTATGCCACACTGTACACCATCATGCTGTGAGAACAGCCAACAAGCGAGAAGGTCAGAAGCCATAAAGTGAAGTTTCCTAAAATACCATCAAAGTTATGAAAACAGAAACAGTAGCTCACTGATCTACAGTATCATAAGATTCTTTGTACCTCACCATGAAAATGGCAGATAATATCATGAAAGGGAATAAATAATGTGTAAAAATGTATCAGACATTACAGTTGTAAACGGAAGGGAATGTTTCATGCAGTACCATTACTGGAACTCCAGGTGAGGGTGTTGTGTAAAAGTGACATGGCGGAACAGGTTATTTTTGCTCTCCTGTTGCCACAATAAAGATCTTCACTTTGCAAGATACCGTCACACTTCAAAGTAATGTGAATGAAATGTAGATGTATTTCCGGATGCCGTCCAGTTACAGCATCAGTGATGTTTATGCAGTGGAAAGGTGTGTGACTGTAGTGTTAACAGAGTTGGCGGCAGCATGCCTGGTACTGAATATAAAAACTGTGCCCATGGTTCAGTTACTTGTGGAACTAATCATCATGTGCCGGAAGTAAGGATGGATGAATAATGATTTATGATGAATTACGTTCTATATCCGGAGGTTGTATCACTTAATATGGATTCTTGGAGCAAACTGATTGATTGATTGATTGAATGAACTGTTGAGAGGCTCATTACAAGTTGTCTGGAACAGGAGATGAGTTATTGTTGGCAAAATGAATGCTGGATACATTTAAATGTCTGGGTACCAGATCTTTGATTCATGCAATGAATACTGGCATTGTGTTCATACTTTGAGGCATGACTATATATCTTCACTTTCTAATAAATAAGCCTTTTAAGGATCATTTGAAACATTTGTATTCTGAATGGATTTTAGCTGAGGACCATGTTGAGACCAACTGGAACAGTGAAGAAGCCCAGGATGGAACTGGTATGCCATTAGATCAAGGCACTGGCAATGAAACTCTTCAGAAGTGATAGTGAAAAGATTTAAGAAGTACTGTGTATCTGATGAAATTGATTGGAGAGATGATGAGGAAGGAATTGGGAATGTTGGCAGTGAACATGAGAGTTTGAGACAGACGATGGGAGTTGTAAACACACTCATTTGAGACAGGAGTGGTGAACAGTCAAGACAGGTGATTCTGAATAAAGTCTAGTGATCTTAAGAAGGAAACTAACTCAGTGTCATTTCTGATATACATTTTCTTTCACATTTGCAGTATGATTATGAAATTACTCTTTCTGTGCTGCATACTCCATAGTGAGGGTTGTCTCACTTCAGAATCATCATACATTTGGTTAGATGTGGCAGTACGCTTAATACATTCTCTATTTTTGTCTTGATTCTCATGATGTTTTCCATATTCCCATCTTGAACTGAAAAAGCTGTTCTTGCACATGTCTATTAAAATGGTCTGACAGCCACAAGAAATTCATACCTGTTTCACATAAGGCAAGTCCACTGTCATTTTGCAGTAAACACCTCACTTGAGCTACTGATTCATGATCTGTGTTGAGTAAATGGCATCTGGGACACACATTACTTCGGCAGTGATGCTCAAAACCTAATGCTTGTCCTGTTGTTGCACCTCCAAATGCTGATGCCTTGGTTTATGAATGTTGGTCACCATCTCTTTATTTTCTTGTAAATTTTAATGTACACACCTTGTTCCATACTCTCAAACATCGTGAAACTGTCATTACAGAAACACTTTGAATTTAAATGCTGACCATGCATGACTGAAGCATTCAAGTAATCTGTAAACATGCAGTAACATGGGAAAATTTGTATCATTTATGTCCATTTTCTGGGCATTTTTCTGTGGTATGACTTCAATCTCAGTACTTTTTGATCAGACGTTGTATGTAATCCTCTCACTTATTCTACACTTAATTTCTGCATTTGATAGAGTATCATTAAAGACTATGAATCATGAAAATCCATATGATGCAGGTCAGAGTAGTTCATAATGCCTGCCATTCAAGCATATTAATACCTCCATTTCAAGGAGAAGCCTGACCCTTTGTAATGTAGTATGCATACTGAATCAAAATGAAACTGCTATCTGTAAGGGAAATGGTGGTAGCATTATCTGCACAGTACTTTGTTATCTGTTGTGGCTACCAAATCTGCATTAATCACTTATAAAGAAACATTAAACCTTATGTAATTTTGGTTGTATTTAACAATTTGGAACAATTTCTGCTGAATGATCTGTGAATTGCTGTTGTACCTTCTCAGGTTTGGGGATTTCTAATAATGTAAGAAAATATAGTGTTGTCATTATTTCATTCTGTGACATCATAAGCTTCTACATTGAAATTATAAATATCTGAAACTTATGATTGTTCTAGTATTTATGTTGTAGCTCAGGAAGAAGGAAAATAAGTTTAAATAGCAAAGAATTACTTTTGTGAATAGGTTAGTATTTTTAATACAATAAATATTTGCATTTAATTGGTTAACCATTGATATAATATGCAAATTAATGGATTAAAGAGAGACGTGTTTTGCTGTCAAAAATAGCACTAGCAGGTGCAGCTTGCCAGTTAGATCATTTGTAATATTTCCACTGTTCCAGAATATAAAAATGTTGCTTTCAGTTCAGACCTGGTCATTATGTTATGACATAAGTCTGTGGGCATTCTGAATGCTGAGGCGAGGAATGGGGCTCTGGAGAGGAAGCATATGAAACATGGCATTTTTCACCAGAACTTCACCTCTCTTAATTATGGTGGGGAGAATTACCAGACAACAGAAACAGATCTTCAGACCTCCCCTGCTGGCAATATAGTTGATGACCAGATTGCATTCATTGCCATTCTGTGTATAGTTTCAAAGTTCTGTGGCAAAGAGCATGTGAAATCACATGCGTATGTGGGATTTTCTTCCATTGCCTATTTTCCAGTGAGGTATACAAGCACAATACTGACCAAGATTGACTCACAGATGGGGATGTCTTTGTCATGTAATCTGGCAGATCGGTACCAATGTTTCAGAGGAACTTGCTGACTCCATCTTCAGGGTGGAGGAATAACCCAAGCTTGGGAAAAATGGTATCACATAGGCAGAAGGAAGGACCTTGTCCAGGGCCCTAAGTGAACCAACAGGACAAGGAGAACAGTGCAAAGAACATTTAGCCATTTAAAGTTCACTTTCCAAGGTTGGAGGGATTGGAAGGAATGGTGGCTGAGTAGAAGCACTTGGAGGTAGAGGAAAGTCAGGAGGAACAGAATAAGAAAAAGTGGTCCTTTAAGGGGCCTTTGCAATGTCAGAGTGAATGTGTGAAAAGATAAAACAGTAACAGGCAAATTCTGAGGGAAGAGAGGAGTAAAAAATGAAGAAGATGAGAGGAATGATGAATGAAATAAAATAAGGTGGTGATGGAGAGGAAAGGGGCCCTTTTAGTGCCAGTGCCAACAATTATTCCTCTTTGAAAAATAAAGTATAAATGCAAATTGATTGAACTGTTTCACAGAAATGTACTTATTTCATGCTTTTTTCCCTTGTCACTCCAAATAAATTGTCATTTTTAAAATTATAATATTCTGTGCATTAAGAAGTGTCAAAGTGGGGAAAATCGCTTGCTTTAAATTTTAGGATCATGGTGTATTTGAGACTGAGAAAAGACAGCAGTTGTATGTGCCTTATCCATATTCTTTAGTTTGCAGAATTGTGTGCACATGTCTTAAATTGATTTATCGATTTATTTATTGGTACCAAGTATCATTGGTGAAAGCCTTTATGGGGAATTATTTAAAAATAATAGTAGATAAGTTGACTGTGATGGGATTATATGTTGATAAATCCAGTATTCATTTGTATTAGAAATGGTACAGGTATATTGTCTTGGATGGTGCTGCATCTTATAACCCTTTTCACTACTGAGTGAAAGTTTCATTCCTTAAGGTTGTGTCCTACTGGAGATGATGCATAACATTTGCAATGAAATGGTTAACAGTTTTTCTGTTTTCACTAATGAACAGAAGTCACACATTTTAAAATAGTGTAAATCATAGTGAGCATGTGCATTTACATGCAAATGAAAGCAGGCCAAAGAAAGTTTGCACCTATGTATATGTTTTCTAACTGCTTCAGCTGTGATGCCTCATGTTAGTGTAGCCATCAAATGCTGCATTTTCTGGTTTTTTGGTTTGCAAGATTTGAGGTCCTTAAAGATGGTGACTATGCAGATTACTGTGCTCTGGGATCTGACACTTTTTGTAGTCTGCCATATTCATGGTAGAAGAAAACTCTTCTGTCATGAAGATGGCAACAGTCTTATCAGACCGCATGGCATCACATCCAAAAAGATGTTAATTATGGTAAAACTAATTTGAGATTGTATGCACCACTGGATTTCAATTTGTGATGGAAATGCAGAAATCATTACAGTGAATTTTTACCAGTTTGATCATGTTATAAATATACTGATTGTAGACCATGGCACATTAAAATCAATGGGAAATTCAAAACATCATAGGAATTACATTTGTTAAATTCATCCCATATGAATCCATTCCTTGCTGTAAAAGTAGAAATACAACTCCTAATGAAATTATGTAAAAGTAAGTGAAGTTTGGAGGTTATAATAATCAGCAAGTCAGCCCATTCACATTCAGGCAATAGCATTTTTGCTATTACAGAACTTATGAGCACTGTCTCAAAATGTCTGGAAAGAGATGTGGCTAACTGCATTGCATTAATAAAGAAATTTTAATGCCCTATGATGTAAACCATATTGGTGCACAACTTCTTAACAGTGTTGATGGACAGGTTAAAATTGATCAAATTGTATGTGGTCTGTTGACTGTGAAAATGAAGGATATTTTCTAATGAGGTCATATCTAATGTCCTTTCTATTTTCCGGTACTGTTGTGATGGATAATGACATACCCCCCAATCAGTTATATTATTATTTTGTTGAATAAGCTTGACATTGTAAGATTTGAGGTTTTGACGCTGGTGACTATGAAGAAAACAGTCTTCTAGGATGTGGCGCCATCTAGATATTGTGTTAACTGATATGTGATTTTTTTGATCTGGTCTATATGAAATCTCCTATGTGCCTGATCTGGGGGGGGGGGGGATATTTGGAATCTTAATAGAGTAACTCACATTCCAAGTTAAGTACTAACTACAGTATAGTCCACATATTCACTTCCGGATATCATAGAATTCTTGAAGAATACAACAAAAAATTAAAATGAAGGGTGTTTGCTTCATTTATGGCCTAATTTGTACTTTATGCAAAACAGCAAAATAGGTTTATACATGTTAATCTCAAACATTTGATGCTGTGGTAACTCTCAATATTGTAATGTTCTCGGATTTCATAAATTGTTATTCTGAAACTTTTTTTTACCAGTATCAGGGTTATAATAGTGGGTATACATCTGTGCAGATGCTTCTGTTCTTTCAGTTTCAATTGGGAGAAAATACTTACCCCCCTCCCCCCACAATAAAGTGGTTTAAATAGTCTGTTTATGTTGCAGCACCATTCCATGTCAAACCACCACTGTATATTCCACTTCATAGTGGTCTATAGACACTTCCGCAAGTATTTCAGACATGAATTAAAATTCATATACATTGTAGCTATTTAAAAAGATCTTGCTCAATACATTGGTGATAGATAAGTTATTAGTTTTATTGCTAGTTCAGTTTGCACCTCATCCTCAATATTCCTTCATTTGTCTACTGAAGCACTGGTAAAATTAAGGCCAATTATTATAGTATAACTCTGTATATAAGCATCTGGGTCTGGAACGGGGTCCACTCAGCCTCATGAGGGTAATTGAGAAGCTATTTCAAGGAAATAGAGGCTCCGGTCTAGAAAACCGAAATTAACGGTGGTGGGGATTAGTTGCGCTGACCACGCGACATGCTCTATCCGCTAAATTTGGCACTAACTTCGCCGACAAGCGGCGGTCAGCATAGTTCGCTTGTGGACTGAAACCACAAAGTTTTTTATTTTTTGTGAGGATCCAAGAGTCACACCCATACAAAACTAAAGACAAAATTATGGTTTGTATGTTTTAATCTTCAGGTTTTGTAGTTAGGCGAGAGGATAAACGATTCTGAACTGAATGGTAGCAAACATTCACCGAATATAACCTGTTCTTAATTTCTTCGCGAGTGCAATTTAAATTTTCTTTGATCATCTGGACCACAATTTTAGAGGATCTGGTACAATTTTGAACTGCATTCTGGTGATACGACAACATGTACTTAATTTTCTCTGTGTTTACTTTTATACCAGCCTTCGTACTGGCGTCAGAGTTCCTGTTTTTATGATATTTAAAAGTATATTATCCCCCAGTATTTTTGCATCATCAGCATATGGCAGAAACTGATGTGCACCACCTAGTTTCCTTGCAATTTGCTAATGGCATATTCTAAAGCAAAGCTGATGTGCAGTGGTGATAAAACAGCTTCTTGTTTTAGACTCTTCCAAATAGGAAACTTGTCAAATAAATGTTCGCCTATATAGACTGTACTGTGGGTTTCATTTAGATAAATAATTTTAATTAGCCTAATCAGTTTCATGGGTACACAAAAGTCAATAAGAATACTGTACAGTATTTCCATCCTAACTGAATTCCTGGTTTTCTTGAAGTCTGTAAATGGGAGATGTTCCTATGTACTTCCATTTTTTTTACCAGTATTTGACGAATGCAGGAGAATCTAAGCAGGAGTTGATCTATTACATTGAGTGCCACACTTATGATTCCCAATAATTTTGTCAACATGTGGGATAAACTTTGAAAGAGTAATGTTGGATAAAATTTGCAGTAAGCGATAAAATGATGTTTTCTTACTTCCAAGAAATTTGAAGATCGTGGATCTGAGCATGTCATTTATAATTCATTATGTAGAACGCACAAGTTAAGTGTACAACATACTTTTACAGTCCGTAGCGTACATTGCTTAAGCATCTGAATTGGAGTAAGAAATAGAAGGGAACCGGCCTTTACACCACATATCTTATCTGCCTAGTCTTGAAATAAGTGTTGCCCAATAAAATTATTTAATATGACCTTGCTTCATTATTATGCTATGATTTTGTGAACTTTCGCAAGCTCTCTGCTTCCGGAACGATGTTCGTTGCTCAGCTTTCTAAATAGTACAACAGAGTAGAAAGAAAGCGGTTATGACTTCAGGGATTGATTTGTTTGGCCTTGAAAGGAATAGATGTCTGATAAAAACAGGAAGAAAACAGCTATGACATCACAGACCTAATTTGTCATTTGTCATTGTCAAATAACTTGCTCTATTCGTAAGATGCTACGATTTTCAGAACTTACTTCTGCTGTGGCAGCGTTGAATTTTCCGAAACTTCGATTTAGCTTTTATAATTGTTTATTTTTCTCACTGCCTTCGCAATGGTGGGAGATGTAAAATCTCAACACATACCGTATTTATGACCATATTCAGTCAAACAGCGTTTCGATAGTGTGTCAAGGACTCTGCTGTGTTACAGTAATTTATTTCGTTGCTTATGTTAGCTATCATTCGGCGAAGAAGTGTAAAATGCAAGGTTTTGAATATTTAAAGAAAGCGGTCAATAACATCAGTCGTGCAAGTGACGCACCCGATAACGCATGCGCATTGCCAGTCTCGTTTGCGGCTTGTGTGGGAAGGTTACACTCGTTGACCTAAGTACAATGGTTGCTCGTAGCCGTACTTTGCTGAATGTATGGAAGTGCACGTTGCTTGTACTGCGATAATTGTAGGCTGACTGATACGCCGGTGAGTACTAAAAGCATTTGCTTTGTAGCGGTGTTCGGTTTTGGTGACTGTGTTGTGAAGTGATGGCTTGTACAGGTTATGCGTTAAATGAATATCCGTATAACTCCTTTGATATTTATACCTTCTTATGAAGTCGACAGTGTGACCTGTTGCGGATCGCTTTTCTGATCGGGTTCGGTGACTTGTAGAATGAATCCTTGTAACTGTGTAATTTAGTTACGCTTGTTCTTTTTAGAGATTCGCTCTTGGTACAGGCCCAATATATTTAATCTAAATTAAACTGGAAGAAAAACTATTTGGTTAAAGGATATTATACTTTACAGTTTATCGATAATTGTTTGCAAATAAAGAGAATGCTCTGAATGAACTCTTTCAACAGGAACGTGTCACATATTATTTGAATAATTATAACCGGCCAAGTTACGGTCTGATTTGCAGAAACCGAGCATGCTTGTCTTAGTGGTAAAGCTCTGCACTGGTATTCGTGATACGTTCGATTGAAATCCAGGCCGGGAGACCGACTGTTCTGACGTTCTGACGATCCTGACCGAGGATTTTCGAGCTTCTCGTCGCAACACTTCCCCCCCCCCCACCTTCACACGGTACAAATCCACCGCTTCCTTCCATAACCCTTCCGAGTTGGTCCATCAACATACCCATCTTACGAATCGACGCTATATGGCCTAGCTATTTACAGCATCGTAAAACAACGCACTAATTAATCAATTTCTTGTGGTGGGGCGCTAAGTTTCAGAACGTAGCTGAGTAGACTAATGTTAAATAGCACCGGAAATCAAGCCACACCGGCTACTGTAGCAAAGATCAATTGGTAAGCATTGAAGTTGGCCGCGCCATAGCTCAAGCGGTTAGTCGCTGGCTTCCCACCGCTGCGGCCCGGGTTCGATCCCGGGTCTGGTCAAGTGGGATTTGTGGTGGACAGAGTGGCGCTGGGGCAGGTTCGGTTTCCCCTGCCAATCTTCGTTCCACCAAATTCTCCATCTTCATATCACCCGGGATAAGCTACAATAGGCTAATCAGTGGCCGCCGCGCCGAGTGGACCGAGTTGGACTCCACCCCCCACTAAGCAATGAAGTTTAAAATTTCGTATCTAGTACGTCTTTATCAGTGGCGAATCGGACTTGTACAGAGGTACTTTTACCTTCTATTAACATGCTATTAGTGTTGATAAATCGATTAAAGTACAACATATAGGTGCCTCATGGCTTTGTGTCATGACTTCAGATGATTTCTGAGGTCATTCGGAGGGTGAAATTGTTACATGGTCACGGATTCACTCTTCAGCGGTCTAGGAGTCTTAGGTATTTGAAATGTAGCGCTTGTGCGCAGCAGGCATATTTGCTCTCGAGGGAGTCAACGGTGCCATAAACTCACATTTATGGGCTCATGGTAAACCACAAGGAACGGTAGGAAATTACTTGTAATTTGTTGTTTGTTCGTTAACGTGTGGTGTCACTGTGATAGCTGCTTGGGCCACACCCCTTCCCGCAACACCCGATAGGTGACGCCGCATTTTGCGAAAGAAACTTCCGGATTTTCTTAGAGAACGTTCTTATGCAAACATGACTGCAGATGTAGACCAACATGACGAAACACCTCTGATTTTCAGTAATGAAGCCACGCGGTGTCTGTCGACAGAAAACATAGTGTATGAACGCGAGGTCACCATCTGGAATATATGACAATTTTTGTAAATTTTTGTACTACATTGTAATATTACATAACCCATGAGGGCTGTACATCCGATAACTGTTATTTTGAACAAGTTCTGAGAATAACTAATTATGTACTTTCCTTTTATTCGACACGGATTGCATAGTAAACGAGTTAAGTGAACATACAGAATAATACTTATATTATATAATAATAATTAGCTACTGCCATTTTCCTAGCGACAGTTCGGGGAACGCAGCAAGGTGCTCTCATAAGTTTCCTAACGAAAATTTAGTGGGAATAAACACACAGATGGATAGACACGAACGAATACACAGACAGCAAAGTGATCTCATAAGCCTCATTTTCTTCTTTTTTTTAAATAAGCGAAGCAAACTATAATAATGTATAAACGATTGTAACATA